CACTTTACCCATCTGAAAAGTGAGACAAGGTCACACATGAGCTGCTGTGGGTTGCATTTCCTTGAATCCTGGGTTTAAAGGTGATGGAGGGATGACCCCCAGTCAGACTCCCTGGAACTCCCAGATCAGTTACTTTACCCTTCAGGAGGCTTTTCCTCACTGTTCCTCAGCTTTCTCCCAGTGGGACTCAGCCAGGCTCTGTGGATAAACAAAATCCCACATCTGAGAGCTGCCTGTGCTGTGGTTGGGGAGTGTTAATCTTATAGATGTGGTATCAGAGTTCCTGCTGCCACCACAAAGCAGAGCTGAAGAAACGACTTGAGCAGTGCTGCAAGCACCATGCTGGGCCTAATTGCAACAGGGATGATGCACATATGGGGTTTATAATTATTATTTTATCATTATTCTAAGGAAACACAATTTTTAATATAAGGGGTTTCATACAGTAGTATTTATTTGCTCATTAAATGGTTTAGCTGGAGACAGAACATCTTCAGAGGACTTTTTTTTTTTCCCCCCCAGGATGGGCATCTGGTGTGGCAGTGCTGTATTATTGTACATGAAAGGTATTTCCTTATTGGCTTTTTCCTTCAGAGCACACGCTGAACTGACACTTCCCGTGCTGACAGCTCAGCTCCCCAGGCTTCAAAGCACAACCTCTGGGAGGATTGCAGAGTGTGAGGCTGCTCCGGATGAAGCTGCAGCCCAACTGACACATAAGCTCTGGGAAAGGAGTTTTCCCTCTTTTTGGAAAGCCTAAAGCACAGTGGGATGTATTTGGGGGTCTTTCAGAGGGGCAGGATGCACCTCCAAGCTGTGACCACATTTTGAGGAGCTGGTTTCTTCTGTAGTTCCTTTGCTCCCTGTGTTTTCCCAACACAGCTGGGAGAGCTGAGGGGCTCAGCCAGAGCTGGGGGATTAACCCTGGACACCCTAAGCCAGAAATCAAAGCTCTGCTCCATCTCCCTGGGTCATTTGGCTGATCCAGGCTCCCCTAGGGGTGCTTCAGGGAGGTTTGGAATGGTCAGAGCTAAGCCAAACCACAGCAACACTGTGTTCTCCTTGCTCCCTTTCACCCAAGGATGCAGGAACAGAAACACACCCTGACCTGTGAGAAATCTTTCCAAAATCAAGAAGAAAGTACGATCTCTCTGCTCCCACATGGAGGCTGGAGTTCCCAGTTGTGCTGATGAGGACTGACACCTCCCACCTCAGTTCCCCATCAAACAGCACCGTTGCCACCATCCCCTGGGGACCCACAAGCCCCTCTCCCCTCAGAGCTCTGCAGGCTCCACAGACCCTCTGCCAAACCCAACTCCCCCCCGCTGACACCTCCATCCTGTTTGTGGTGTCTTTGGCACTTCCCCCTCCAGCACTTCCAGTCCCCTGCAGCTCCCCAGCCCAGTCAGCTCCAGCACAGCCCAGGCCTGAGCCAACAGTAACACATGGAAGCTCCTGGAAACTCCGTCCCAGCCGAAGGCAGGAGCCTGTCCAGGGAACAGCCTGGCCCAGCAGCACCCACAGCTTTGGGGTGTCCCCCACAGCTCCCACCAAGGCAAACCCAAACAAGTTCACACCCCAAACCTCCAGCTCAGGGGGTGCAGAGTACTCAGGGCAGGGGTCTCCTGCCAAGGACTGGGGAACCACCACGAAATGGCACAGCTGTAAAACACAACCCCAAACTCCAGCAGCAAATGGCAGATCAAGAGCAGCTTCCCAGCAGCACCAGGGACCCTTTTACCAAGTGAGCCCCAGCAGTTCTTTCACTTATTGCTGAGACCCCACCTCAAGCATCAGAAATTAATAAAGGGCAAGACCAGGGGTTTGTTCCCTTTGTTTTATGCAGCTGCAACACGATCATCCCCTGGGATCATCTTTCCTCCTCCCAGACAGGTGAGGGGAAGCCACAGCCTCCAGGTACGGGGCAGTAACTGGATCCTGCAGACCCAGATACAGCCACTGCCAGGCAGGAACTGCCCACACAGCCCCTGCTGCAGACACAGCTCCCAGCACCATGCAGGTAAGTGCTTCAGCCTCCTACAGCTTTCATGGAATGGTTTGGGGTGGAAGGGACCCTAAAGATCATCTTATTCCACCCCCTGCCACGGGCAGGGACACCTTCCACTAGCCCAGGTTGCTCCAAGCCCCATTCACCCTGGATTCTTACCCAGCCAGCTTCCACAGGGCAGTGAGAGGCCATAGGAAAGTTCTCCTTCAGGGACACATATTACCATGACAGGTCCTCAATAACAACTGGCTAAAAATTTGCTGGCTAAAAATAGTCAGCAAATACTAATAGCAAGTTATTCCCTACTGTTGCCACACATAGATGCACAAAACTTCTAAACTACAACATGGTCATGTCCTTCCCAGCTTGGGATGTCGCTGTGCCATGTGAAGTACATTCCTGTAGATTCCTTCCATTTCTAGGAGAAAAAGAGCTTCAAATTAGTAAATGCAAAGACTACAGTCTAAAAGTTGTGATTGCTTTGCACAAATATATTTTAAAATGGAGGAAAGCCTTTTTGTTTGAGTGGCAGGAGGACTGAGTGTCCATGTCTTCCCTTCCCCAGCCAACACTGTGCAGGCTCCGGACTCACCAGTGGTGTTTCATCCTCTTTAATGTCCTGCTTTTCCACGTGCTGCTCTTTGGGGCAGATTTACTGGAGGAATATTTCCTGCATTCCTTTCCTCTGTCCTACACCGATGCAAAGACTCTGGAGATCAGGGAGAGGGCCAGGAAGCTGGACATGGATCCCCTAAAGGCCAACCTCTCTCACACTGTCAGCAGTGCAGTGACATGCTCAGACCAAGAGGTGTTTTTGCTCATCCTCGTCCACAGCAGCCCAGAAAACAGGACAAGGCGCGACACGATCAGGCAGACGTGGGGCAACGTGACGGACACCAGAGGTTACACTGTCCTCACTCTGTTTGCTGTAGGAAAGGCAGCTTCAGAAAGCACCCAGCTGGAGATCAATGAAGAGGCTCACAAGCACAGGGACATTATTGAAGGCTCTTTCATCGATTCCCCGCAGACACAGACACAGAAGATGCTGCTGAGCGTGGAGTGGGCGGTGACTTTCTGTCCCCGGGCGAGATTTATCCTCAAAGCAGACGAGGATGTGTTTGTGGGTGTTCCAAGCCTGGCTGGGTACCTGCTGAGCTTAACACAGCTAGAGGACATCTACCTTGGGAGGGTCATTCATCAGGGAGTGCCTGACAGGGACCCCCAAAGCCCTGCCTTTGTTCCCACCCATCAGTATCCCGAGGAGTTTTACCCGGATTTCTGCCACGGCAGCGCCTTCGTCATATCCCAGGACGTCGCCCGCAAGGTTTATGTGGCTGCAAAGGAGGTGCCACTGTCAGTGCCCCCAGATATTTTTGTGGGAATCTGTGCTAAGAAAGCTGGGATCACTCCCCTGCACAGCTCCCGCTTTTCCGGGGGGAAGCACATCAGCTACAATCGATGCTGCTATAAATTCATCTTCACCTCTTCCAACGTGAAGGAGGACGAGCTATTTAAAGCCTGGGAGGAAACAAGCAGTGGGGAAGATTGTTCCTTGCTGGAAACCTACTACAGCCTGGTGTCCTGCAGGGTTTTGACCTACATTGACAAGTTCAAGCAGTTCAACTTGGATAGAATAAAAAATGAGGTTCTTCATTTTGTCAATTAAGGTTTAGCTTTGGCAAAGAAAGGCTGAATTTTCTTTTAGCAGCTGCTTTATCCTGTAACATTCAGCAGTAATGATGCCCTCCCAAAGTTAGGTCTCCTCCCTTCAACAGCAAATGAATTCCCAGAGCTACAGTGTGTGACAGGAACAAAACTGGATGTACTCTATGTAAGTACCTACAAGTGCATGCATATAAGTAGAGTATTCCAAGAAACTCTGTCTGTCTCCAGTGTTTTTCAGACTTCTGAGTCCTCAAAACACCTTCTCCACTTTTTATTCAAGTGAGGCATCACTGACTTCCAAAGAATTTTGTACCAAAGGGGAAGCTTTCCACCCCCAGAAGGAGCTGCTTCTGAGCAGGCTGGTTTACAGCACCAGGGAAAGGGAGAGGAACAGACACTGAGCCAGCATGGAAATGGCTCAGGGAGATTCCAGGCAAGAAATCCAACTTGCCTGTTGAAGAATCTTGTATTTCTGTCAGTCATGGCTTCAGAGACACACTGACAAGGCAGCTCCAGGACATGGCAGCACACTGGAGAACAGTGCCAGCAGCGAGGTCAGAACAGATTCACCAGCAAAACTGGTAACACCAACATGATTCAAAACATAAAAATTCCCCAAAGCAGGAACAAGTCCCAGAACACAAAACCCATCCACACCTCCCTCCTCCAGATAAACTCTTCCATGTCCACTCTTTCAGCAGCAGAAGGACCAGCTGGTCAGGTTTGTCCTACGACTGTGAGACACCCATGTACCTCTGACAGCCCCAGCTACTCTTCCCACTGGGATTAAAGGATTTGGAGCTGTGTTCCCAAGGACCCACAATTCTGAAACACCAAGTTATTCTGCTTGTTAACTTTGGCCAAATGTTGAGTTTTGGTTTGGGGTTTTCTGTGTGGGTTTGTTTTGTTCTTTAAACTAAAAGTTTAGCGTGTTACCTCAATTCTCCTTCTCCAGCATTCCATTTCTGGTTTTTCCTCCATTATCTCCACCTGTTACTTTAAAGAGGGGATGACAGAGACACTTATATTTTCCATTTATATCAGACACAGCAGCATGTAACCCAGATGGCAATGTACAGCATGGGCAGGGAACTGCAAGTGAATAATAAGGGGGAAGTGTGTGATCAATTGATCAATGTTGAGCTCCAAGCTCAATAAAACAAAGCATATGTGCATACATAAAAAAAATCCCCTTGTTTGGCATCTCTGCCTATTCTAAAATATTGTCTTTGGCAAATGTACTATGCAAAGCAGATGCTAAAGACTGAGCACACAGAGTAGCCTTCAAAAGCAGCAGCTGAAAACACACATGGAAGAGACTCATGAATTGCAGAAAAGGTTTATATATTGATTTCTTTTACTGAGGTTTGTAGCATATGGCTCATACAGAGCGACCAGCACACAAAGCCACCTAAAACAACAAAGTTGAACTGCCCAAAACAAGTGCAAAGTACAGACTTCTATATTCTTTTTTCATTTCCTTGTCAGTGCTTTGATGTTTTTTTTTTCTGGATGCAGGACTCGTGAAGTTCCATGTTCTCTATTTACAAACAAGACACTGTGGTACATTTCTCACCAGCAGATAGTTTTGGGGCACATTTGGGGTGAAAGCAGCAGCAGTGTCATGGAGGAGGACAACTTTTTGTCCATCTTGGAGCAGCAAGGCAGATCCCTCCTCTCAGACACTTAGCAAACACGAAGGGATCCTCCCCAGCTCCTCTGAGCCCACTTGCACTCCCTGGCAGCGATTTTTGGCAATAGCAGCTGCACCTCTACCTCCCACATGCAAGGAGAGAACTCCTGCATGACTGGATCCTCCTGCTTCCTTGGCAGCACAGGGACATGGGTTGAGCATTGCCAGAGTCATCCTTGACTGACACATCACTAAAACAAGCCCCAAAGCAGCAATTCCATGGTTTATTATGCTCCCCCCTCAGCTATTCCTCAAATATGTCCTCAACAAAAATAATATAAGCCTTTGATATAAAGTACACTGTGGTCCCTGTTTATGGACAAAGACACATCTTGATTCTCTCCCACAGTTATCTGAAATTTTCAAAAGAAGATTCCAGCTTCCTAAGGTACATTTCCATCCTCCTGGTTCATTCACACCCTTAAACACAAAAGTTTCATGTTCTTACCCCTTTAACTCGGGCAACTAAAATCATATGTTTCTTTAAATAACACTTAAAAAAAATGTAATCTCTGTTAAAAAACGGTATAAACAATTAAAGATTTGGTTCTGAAGTAGCTTTGCAGTGTTACAGTTCAGGCTCTTTTTGAGCCACTAAACTGAGCTGCCACACCACGTTGCAGCAAAGGGAGACAAAGCTCCAGTTTGGTTTGATCCACTACAGCATTGATTTGTTTTCAAAAGGGCTACAAGGTTTGTTTTTTAAATCCTCAGCATAAGATGTAAACAATATTTAGGGTTATTTATTCAAGCAAGACTCACATCCAGCAGGTTGAGAACAGAAGAGAATCCAGTTCATACTCCCTCATGTGGACAGAGTGTGGCTTATTCTCAGCAACAGGATTCTGACAGGGTAAAGAGTGTGTTCCATGCAAGTGCCAATTTTGGCAGATATAAAAAAAGATTTAAAAAAAAAAAAAAAGAAACTGTGGCAGCATCTGAGGCTACAAACCTCAAGGTGTTTTGGTGTTTGGTTTTTGCCTTTTTTAACTGAACTGGAACCTACTGAGAAAACACGATAGAAACTCCAAATCCAACAACTATTTAACCAACCACCAACAAATTCTGCAAAATCAAACACAGTCAGTAGTTGGGAAGTGCAGCAGTTGGGAAGTGCTTACCTGGGTTGTCTCATGACAGCACACAGGGAACTTCTGCCGTGACATTTATAGGGAAACACCAAATAGGCTTTAATTTGCTCTCATGACTCATTTCAAACAGAGTCAAAATATCCTCACATTCCTTTAAAGAGACAACCTAAAGACACCCCAGTGTGGAGAGTCTTTACACCTTGTACCTCAACCTCTGTTTCAGGAACACGTTTTGCAAGACACCAGTGACATTATTCTGCTCCTTCCACAGCTGTGGTAGAAACTGCCTTGACATAGTAAGGGCCCTCCTGCAGGTAAGCCCTGAGCCTCAGGTAATACTGATTTCCAAAGATCTCTGCAATTGTTTTGGAGTTTACCAGGGCCTTCACCAGTTCGTATTTAGCGTCCTTGGAAGCTTTGTCAGGCTCCACAGATCTGTCCACAACGTACTCCACAAACCCCGGGCTGTGCAGCATCAGCTTCTGGGCCCATGGTTGATTTGCAATGGCCTAAAAACAGGAAGAGGTGTGGGAGAGGGGAAACATCTCATTTGAAACCCCCAAAAAGCAGTTATACAGTAGGTTCTTCGGCAAACAGCCAAGGAACAGGAGAAATGAAATGAGATACTCATTGTACACAGTGGTTCCACAACTCAAATCAAGCAGCAGGGTCTAACACTGCACAACAAGTACAGCTCAGTGCTGATCTTCAAAGTTTGAAGGGAATTATCTCAGCAGTGCCTCTGGGATGGAGGCAGCACCCTGGAGCACAGCTGTTGCCTTTTTTAACCCTCTCCAATTTACTGGAGACATTACAGACATGACATGTCTGCTGCCTTCTTTAAACGGGGAATGCAAGTGGGGCACAGGCAAAAAGGCCTATTTCTGACCACTTCTGGGCTTCAGCAAGAATTCTAGGGCATTAACTTTAAAAAAATAAATAAATCTGAGACTGAAGGGCAACATAATTCACTCCCTGATCTTTAAAAGCAAAAGGTACTTACAGTGAACACCCGTAAAGCCCCACAGTGGAGGTCAGGGAATGGCTGAGTGCTGATGCTCCTGAAGAGTTCCAGGGGCTGGCTGGACAGGGATGTGAACCAGGATTCTGTCATCCTTAAAAGGTCTTCTGTCTGCTGCTCTGGCTGCACAAATCACACCCAAAACACAAAAAGAGTTTGATTAGGAAAAGCTTTCAGGTTTTCAGTGTATGTTCAAAAGGTTTCCTCACTCCTGCAGAGCTCCACCATTAAACCCAGATGGCTGGATCTAAACAACACACACAGGGATTAGAGCAGTTGCCACCATCCCTTTAAGCACAAGAATATTAACCTGTTTATTCCCATCCCCTTGTCAATGAAGTCTTGACTTCATATTTTATAAACATTTCATATTTTATAAACATTTCAGAACACCTGGTTTCTTACAAAGTCAACCCTTAAGCAAATAAATAAGGGAATTTCTAAACAGCAAAATCATTGGCTCAGAATACTAGAGAGCACCACTTCTACCCAAGCCAGAGGCTTCAGAAGATCTTCTCACAATTACTCAAGGTATAATAACAATTTCATTCTTGTAGATTTAATGGAAAAAAAAGAACAAACAAGCACCAACTTACAGGCAAGTAAAGAAGAGATGAAATGGCATCCAAGCACCGCAGCCGTAGCTCCGTGGGGGCATTCTTGGCCTGGTGCCCTATTTTGCTCAACAGGTTTTGGAACCTACTTCCTTTCAAAACAAAAGAGAAGTGCTTCTAATTAATTGAGCCAGACCTCTACAGGAGTAGAGTTACCCCTCAGTCCCATTAGAAATGTATTTATTAAGTAAATACATTTTCCAATTCCTTTTACACCAAATCAATCCACTCTTGGATCACACTGAGAAAGTTTTATTATAGAAAAAAGGTACTAACTAGTTTTCTGTAAAACCTGTTTGCCTTCCACATTTGATCCCAGGATTCCCAGGGTGTCCACAGCCACTCCAATCATGGTTGGATCCTGACTTTCTGCCATTTCAAAGACTTTTTCCATGAAGACAGGGTACCGCTCACAGATCTGCTGGGGGCTGTCTACAACTGCCAGATTCCCAAAAAACTTCACAAATCCTGAGAAAACAAGACCAAAATAAAGCAGTGAGGGGAGGAACAATAACTTCAGCAATGACAAAACTAAATGTGGGATTGTTTTGTTGCTGAATTCGTGTTATCAGTCTGAATAGTGTATAAAGACAGAACTAAAGGAAAAGCCAAAATTTTGTCAGTTCCTTAATTCACAACCTTTACATTCCTAAAAAAAATCCTACAGTAACACAAACTTCAAAAGCTACAGCACTTACCTGTACTACCCTCTATTAATGAGGAATATTATTCATGTGTCAGTCTGCCCCTCAGCATTTTATATATCCAATATTTTACATATTGAACACTTTCTATATCCAATCTAATACTCAAAACTTCACATGAGCTTTCAAAAGAGAGGCTGAACAATTCGACTCATTAACTAAAGCAGGCAGTAAAGCCTGTAAACAAGATGATGTTACCTGGTAAATAGAAGCTGGAGAAAGGATCAGACTCTGCTCCAAGGATGATGTTTGAGATTTTATCAATCACTCCTTGCTGAGCCAGGTACTGCCGGCCCTGGGGGGTGTGGGCCAGTGAGGTCACCATCTCTATACAGGTGGCTCTGGAACACACAAACACTTAGTTTGGCTTGGTTTAGAGGGGTTTTGAAGTATTCAGTGATTAAAAAAAAACCAACAAACAAATCCAAAATCCAAACAAAAAACCAAAAAAGAAATCACTCCAATTGTCAAACACTCCTCCAAGCTCACTCAGCTCTCACTTGAGGTGTAGGAAAGAATTAAAAGTGTTCATACTGCAGCCAAACAATTATCACATCATACTGGGGAAGCTTCACCTCAGCTCTCAAATTAATGTATAAAGTATTTAACACTCAAGGAGGTTTAAGAAGAGCCAGATAAAGCGTTTTCCTGAAAAGGGTTTCACAGAACCCCCACACAAAGGTGTTTACAGAGTGTTATTTCAAGACTGAACATCAGAGTTTTACCAAGCCCAACATACCTGACCAGCACATCCTCTCCAGTGAGCTCCCCAATTAACTCAGATATTAACCCACTGTTTGCACAGTAATTCAGGGACTCTGCTGACACTGAAGAAATCTCCACAATTAACTGAAGAGAAACAAAAAGAAAGGATGGTTTATAAAAACATTCTAATCATAACAATTCACAGTAACAGCCAAATACACCTTATAATGTTGATTATCAAATAGAGAATTTCATGATGTTTTCATCATTAACCCAAAGGTTTGCCTGAAATATGTTTGTAAGGAGTCCCAAGTTTACAGCACATTTTTTTCCATTCACAGCCAATTTTCCCTCTGCTATTCCCATTAAGCTCTGGAATGGCTAAATTGTGTTATTTCTTCTTAACCATCCACCTCTGAACTGACACACTTGGTATCTCTCTCATCTCTTCCCCCTCCAGAACTTTCAGCAGCGCTTCACATGCAGAGGTTAAGAGACCACAGCTCACAGAAGCCATTTGAATTTTCCTTTCAGAAAGTTCACAAAGGCAGTGATAAATGTTGATTTAAGAGCCATAAAGCCCAGGCTGTGCCTCAGAGCCCCCAGGGAACTGCAGCCCCACCTCGTACACTCGGTACCGAACGATGTCACTCGTGGCCATGACGTTTTTCAGGTCACTCAACAAACTGCTCACAAACAAAGCCTCCAGACCTTCTTGTGTCTGGGCTATTCTGGACAGGGATTTGATGGCCTGGAAGCAAAAAACAGGAGCTTGGTATTAAAAATAAACAATCAAAAAAAAAAAAATCCAAGATTATCAGGCTTATGTTCTTTATTAACTTATTAAGTCTAGTTACACGTTCGTTTTAATTAGAACTCTTTTTTTGTTGATGAGAGCTAGTTGTGGTTATTGTCATCCAAGTGTCTGGCATCAAATTCTGATTTACAATTTCACTTTGGCACCAACATCTACTGGAAGATGACAGTTCTGGGTAAATTTTCTAACACAATTAAGCAATTTCTCGTAACATCTTTCAAGCACCACGAGCTCTCTTTCCCTCAGGGAAGGGCAGAAGCTCTTCATCTTGGACACATGGAAAAGGTGGTTTGTGCAGAGGAATTAACAACAAAGCCCAGCTCACCTCCTTGGCCACTGCAATCTTCTCTCCCCCAATGCAGTTTATTATTTGCCGTAACAGCTCCGGGCTGTTGAGAATTTCTGTGACAGCACCTGGGTCTTCAACAATCCTCCCAACCTGAGCAAATAATTAGAGAAAATAACATTAAAGTGAGCTTTTTCCACCAGGAGGACATTCAAGCACTAGAAGAGCTCCACAGACAGCCACAATCACCGTTCTGGGATCAAAACTCCACTGGCCAACACCCTGAGCAGCTGCTTTTAGCTGAGCCTGAAACTTCCAGAAGCCCATTCTAAACCACAATGTTTCCAAACCACAGAAAAGAGTCTTTTAAATCACTGCAAGAAGCGTCAAGTCGCCACAGCCTCTTCCTCTTTGCTGTTTACACAATATTGCTTAAAGTATCCCAAATATAAAAATGTTGCTGCTTTTAATTCTTCCAGCACCTGCTGGTGGCTGGGAAAGCTTTAACCAGAAGTTTCATTTACAAGTTACTTTTGACAGGACAGCTTTATACATTATAACTGAATATCATAAACACACTGCATAGTGTGTTTATGCACAGATTATCCTAAAACGTGTGCGTGTGTAAGAGCATAATTCTTGCAGTGCTGCAGAGTTTTTATCACAAATTAGGGCATGAAACAGCAGTAAGAGCTGAGGACTGACCCAGCCTGGCTCCACACAGAGCTGGAGGAACCACTCTACCTGGGCTATGGTGAGGATCTTCACGGAGTCCTCGGGGTGACAAAGTCCTTTCTGGAGTTCTTCCCGGAGGTTCTGGATCACGTACAGGGGGTCCAGGGCCTGCAGGAGCCTCTCCAGAATGGAAACACACGCGGACACCTGTTCCCTGGGCGAGACGGAGAGAAAACTGAGCCCATGAGGGCGAGGGGACAAGGCTGTGCCAGCCGTGCCACCTCCACCCTGAAGGAGCCGGGGAGGAGCAGGAAGAGCAGCGAGGGGGCGGCGGGGCCGCTCACCGGTCATTGGCGCTGAGGAGGGCGAAGAGCGCTCCCAGGTGGTGCTCGCCGAGGCGGGCGCGGAGGGCGGCTGGCGGCACGGCCTGCAGGGCGACCCGCAGGGCCCGCAGCTCCTCGAGCTCCGCGTCCCGCCGGGCCGCCCGCTCCAGCAGCGCCGCCGCCGCCTCCGCCATCTTGGCCGCCGCCTCCGCCATGTCCGCGAAACATCGCGAGAACTCGGGCCTCGCGACGTAGCGACGGCCTGGCAGAAGTATCGCGAGAGCTCCACCCACCTTGAACAAGGGCTGGGCGGGGTTATCGCGAGATTTCCACCGCCCTTAGCAACGGCGCGGCGGTTGCTAAGGGCACCTTTCGCGTCTGCAAATGTAAACAAATGTCGGCGCACCACGCCCCTTCTTGGCTCCGCCTGATTCGGGCGTGGTCAGAGATGGGCGTGGCCCTGTTGATTGGCGGGGCGTGGCGCTGCTGGGGGTGTGGTCCCGCTGAGGGTTTGGGGGGGCTCGGCCCCCGATGTGTTCAAGCTGCATTTTCTCACCTTTTGTGGAACATAACTGGTGTCCTCAGACAACTTTTACAATAGTAAAGAAAAGAATAAACAACATCTTCTTTCTAAACTATACTGTGTGTCTGTGTTTAGAGAGCTCCTAAAATCGGGTCCCAGAGCAGACCCCCCAGATGGTGTCACCCCTGCGATGGGGGGATCTGGAGGGGTTTGCAAGGGGGGCAGAGCCGGGACCTCCTCAGCCCTAGGGACAGCTTGGCCACTGCAAAAAAACTGGGAATTTGTTTCAAACCAACCGAGAAAATGTCAGTTTTTCAATCCCTGCACAATTAAGTGAAGGAAAGCCCTGCAGAGCCTGGGGGTATTTCACAGCTCCTGAGACCCCAAGGTGGCAACGTGTCATCGGCACCTTCCAGACCATAGAGGGGCAGGTTCTAAATCCAGGCTGGAATATGTATTGCAGCTTATGGGAACTGACAGGAACCCAGCAAAGTTACAGCAGGAATACAATCAAGTTACAGCAGGAACCCAATGAAGTTATGGTGTGAGACAGAGAGCAGCACTCAGTTCCTCCTTGCTGGAGGTTTTAGGCACAAACAACACAACAGGACTTGGCAGCTGCCTGATGGTTTCTATCCAAAGAGTACAGAGCTCTGACAACATTAAATCTGAGAAAATAACTGGTTTATGGATGGGAAATTCAAAGCAGAAGTGACAAGTGGCATCAGCAGGTCTCAGAGCACCAGGGACAGCACTGGAGAGAGAGAGATTTCCCCAGCACACGTTGGGGCAAGAGTTTGATAATACACCACCCAGGGGTTTGGTTGTCCCTGCTATGGTTGGACCCCACTTTTGGGCAATCTGTCCCCCCAGCCCTGCGGGTCAGGCAGGTGCAGAGAGTGGGATGCCAAGGCTCGGGGTGGCAGGAGGGGACAGAACACTGTGCTGTCCCCTGCCCCTGCCCCAGCCCCTCACCGGGCAGGCAGGCGGGTACCAGCCTGGAGGAAGAGGAGGAGGAGGAGGAGTTAGTGCTCGCATGGGCAGCCTGCCCAGGCAGCGTTCCCAGCTCGGGCAGAGCAGGTGGAGGGACGGAGGGGACGGACATGGAGTGGCTGAGCCAGCGCTGCCCGTTGCCATCCGCTGCCCAGGGCTGGCCCCGGCCAGGCCGGGGCACTTTGCTGCTGGTAAGTGGGATGGGGGTGCTCTGGCACCGGGATGGGGGGGACACGGGTGACCCTTTGGGGACATCGACCCGCACCAAACAACCATGGAAATACCTGCCTGTACCTTTGTAAGGGAACCTCTGCACGGATCCATCTCGCAGGAGGAATGTCCTCCCCGTCTCTGCCGAGAGCAAAGCAAATTTCCAAGGAGTTTTTTTCCCCGCTTGCTCTCAGGAAGCTCAGGGCAAACTCAGCGTTGCCACGAGTTGTGCTTGGGTGGTGTTGCTTGTTGGGTTTTTTTTAACACAGTCTCATCAAAACTAGGCAGAAAGTCCTAACGTGGTGATTCTAAAGCTGTTTTTAGTTCAGCAAAGCCAAAACAAATATTGCAGAAAGCTCTGAGTCTCTCTGTCATTTTGCTGTTCAGTTCTTTTCAGTGAAGTGCTTAAAATCTGACAGGAGTGTTTTCAGTTTTGTTCAATATTTTGGCAATCATGAGTTTATTTGGTTTATCAGGCAGGAATCCTGAAGTTTCACTCCTTTTTTCCACCATCCCTTAGCAAATACAATTATTCTAGGGAAAAAACAAAAAAAAAAAGGGGCGGATGGGGGTCTTTTATCTTTCTTTTCAGAGATAAAAGGGAGGGAAACATCCCCCCAAAAAAGAGAGTGCTCATATTTGTACTAATATTCAATCATAAATGGTCCTGGGGATTTATGCACATACATCTTCCAAGAAGATTAATGATCTCCAGGCTGAACAGGTTGGATTTTTTTTCCTGAGCCAGGAGCATGATTATATTTTAATCTGGAAAAATAGGTACACCAGCGTATCCCTGTTTGGCTTGTAATTCTCTGAGTAGCTCCTGGGATTTGTTGTATGTTTTTTAAATGGCTTAATGGGAAAAAAGAGCACAGAAGGAACTCTAAAAATTATTACGAGAAACCTTGTGATAACAAAGAATATTTCCTCAAACGGACTGGAAAAGAGGAGACAAGCAATAGAACACATCAGTCATTTTCCAAATGGAAAAGAGCTCTTGACTTTGTGGTGACAAGAGAGATTTTTAATTCAATCTTTTTTTTTAAAAAAAAAAAAAAAGAATTTGACATTGACACTGTAATGGGAGGATTTTCAGAGGACAAAAGAGGGTGGAAATGAGGGGGGAAAAGGAATATATTCTTAGTCTTATAAGCATGTTTTAATCACTGTAGCTGAACCGGGGCCAGATGCTGTTTGTGTCAAAAACAAGACAAAAGACAAAGGGAAGAGCAGCTGTGAGACCCTGCGAGTGCTGCAGCCCTGGACGGCCCCATCCCTGCCTGTTCCTCAGCACTCCAGATTCCTCTCCCTCTCCAGCAGCATCCCTGCTGAGATAATGATATATTTTTATGAGTCTGTTTATGGCATGTGAGCACGAGCAGCAGCCACGGGGCTTGCCAGGAATCACAGCTAATGCACAGCAAAACCCACTTGTTGCTGTGCCCTGCCAGGCCAGAGGGAGAACGGTGCTGTCTGTGCAGCCCTGCAGACCTGGGATGTGCCATTAGGATTCCTGGGCCCAAAAGGATTGAATTTCACTGTCAGTATCAGATAATTAGGATGAAATGAACTTTAAAGCTGCCTTGAAGTCTTGCCCTCCCTTGCAGGCTGTAGCATGGCCGGGGTGGGCTGCACAGCAGCCGTGGCAGAGGAGAATAATCATCCTGGGCTGGCAGGGCAGGATTAGAGCTCTCCAGGTGCACAGGCTGTAGTCCGCCCTAAGGCTCCAGCCCAAATCTGTTTTCCATGGATACAATGTGACACGTTGCTCTTCTCCTTCCCACATCCCCAGGGAGGCAGAGGGCCCCAGCCCCCCATTTCCCAGAGGGATGGATGTGCCTCACCCTTGGCTCACAGCTGAAGGATTGCTGCAGGATGTGTCCTCAGCAGGAAAGATGTGCTCAGTGTGGCAGCCATTCCCTTCTTATTCCTTTTTTTTGCATAGAAACGTGTCTTTACTCTTCTGTGGAAAACCAGTCCTGGCTGCTGAGCCGTGGGGGGGTGTCTGTAACCCCTGTTAGTCCAGGGGTGACCTCCCACAGCCGAGGTCTGGGCACCTCTGGGCTGATACAACCTCCAAACTGCCCCTCTCCTGCCCCAAGCACTTGGCACAGCACGGGATTGTCCCCTCTGGAGTGGAATTAATCCCTTTACAAGCATGTTCTCCCCTAAATCCCAGCTGCTCACCGCAGTGTGGAAAGGAGCCTGGAAATGTCCCTCCGGCCACAGATGATGTAAACGCTCAGTTTTCCATAGTGCAGTGTTTCCCCTCCCACCCTCACCGGTGTTCTTCCCACCCTCTCTGGTGTCTCCTGGAGGTGCTGACGCTGGCAGTGCTGATGTACCCGCTGCTGAGGGGTCTGGCCCTGCAGCTCCACTCCACCCTCACCGGCAGCTACATCCCGGGGACCAGCTCCATGGCCTTCATCAACTGCCTCAACGAGCAGATTGCCAAGGATATTGCAAGGTATGGAGATGTCTCCCCTGCTCGTCTGCTGCTTGTGGAATAAAGCTTTCCCTTGTCCCTCGAGAGGATCTGCACCCCTGTGTATTTTGCATTTCGAAGGTGGAGAGGCCCTGGCACAGGTTGCCCAGAGAAGCTGTGGCTGCCCCATCCCTGCAAGTGTCCAAGGCCAGGTTGGACAGGGTTTGGAGCAACCTGGGATAGTGCAAGGTGTCCCTGACCATGGCAGGGGTAGAATGAGATGACTTTTAAGATCTCTTCCAATCCAAACCATTCCATGATTCTCTGATACAAGAGCATCGCTCATTTTCACTGACACTCTCTCTGTGCCACAAACCCCCTTACCAAGAGCTGTTCTGTCTCAAAGAGAGCTGACAGTTGCCTCTGAAGTCAATGCCATGGTAACATCAAGTAATTCTCAATTTATGCCACTGCCTCTCATTTTCAAGGCCCATTTTAAAGCCATGGCCCCGAGTCTCTGTGTCCTCAGATGGACTAAGCCCCAGCTCCTTGTTCTCTGACGTGCCACAGTTTTTCTTCTTCTCTAGAGCAGCAGACAACAAAATGCCAGGAGGGGCATTTGTAGAGAGGGACAAAGCACATGCCATGCACATACAAAAAAAGATGAAAGGAGGTCCACAACAAACACTGGTGAGGTCCCACCCAGGATCTGCAGAAACTTCAGGGAACAAGGCCTTTACCTCCATTTTTTTTTCATTCTGTTTGAATATATGAGATACTTTGCATGGTATTTTGCATGCTGAGTTTTTTGCACACATCTGTCAGTGCCTGACTCAATAGATGGTTTGTTCAAAGTCCTGAACCTGTGTTGACTGGGGAAGTGTTTATGATGGACCGTGAAGTTTCCTGCAACACCTCCTGCACTGTTTTCCCTGCTCCCCTGCTGCTTGCCAAAAACCCTCCTGCTCCAGTAAAGTGCTCCCAAACAGTCGTTCAGGAACTGACAGGCTCCTGAAAGGGATTTTGTGTCACCTTAAATACTGCAACTGTACTAAGAAATT